ATACTATGATGTCAATTTTCAAATTATACAGAGTTTTTCCTCTGGCTGGATTCTGCATAAAACAAAACATGCTTTTTCTAAGATACAAAAAGCTTCTGGCTTTCCCTGAACCTTTTAGTGGCAAAGAGAGAGAATTCCAGCAAGCAGAAACAGACCTGTTTTATAAAGGCGTTGTGGCAAACCCATGGCGCACCAGAATGGATGCAGAAGCTCACAGGGCCAGGGCGAGATGCTTCTCCAAGCCACACACACACAAGAATTCAAAGGGACTCCTTGCACCTAGAAATATAGCACCTCAAGAAGCGGGCTAAGGGGGAAACTAACTGACATGCAGATTGTCTTGCTGCAGGCCATTTGTTCTCTGGGAAGGAGGATCAGGCCAGAACCAGCTGCTCCCTGTTCACTGCCTCCCTGGCATAACTCCCGGCCCCTTTCAGGGAGTCAAGATAGCTGGGCTGGGGCTGGGGCTGGGGCTGGGGCTGGAACGAGGCAGTCGCTGAAGCCAACAGGTCTCCTCCGAGCACAGCCAAATTGCTACCCGGTCCTCTCTTAGGTGCAAAGAGATGCACAAATATTTCTCCATCCGACAACGGAAGGAGGAGGCCCTGCTGGGACAGCCGAGTGACAATCAAAACAACAGATCAGCAGCCGCTGTGCCCAAAACCCGCACGGTGCTCCTGGGCACCTAACGACGCGGAAGAGCCAAGCAGCATGGCCGGGGGGAGAGCGGAGACGACACCGCCCAGACAGCTTCGGCTGCGGGGCGGCGTGGAAAGGAAATGGAGGCGGAGGAGGAGCCCGCTCTGCGGAGGAAGGTCCCCGGCTCCTCCAGCGGAAAAGGCGCCGGAGGCGGATGGGAGGCCCGCCTCTCCTAGCCCGGGACCCTGCTGAGCGACATTCGGGGAGGACTGGCCGGCTTTCAGCCCTGGGCGCCTCCAGACGGCCTGGGGCGCGGCTGTGCTTCCCCAGGCACACCAGCCGCCGGGCGGCCCGGAGCAGAAAGCAGCGGACGGGCACGAAGGTTGGCCTGCCACAAGGCAGGACGGGGAGGCCTGGGGGCTGCAGGCCCTCGTGGCCTCTGTGGGTCCCTGGGGGTGGCCAGATAAGCCCCGGCACCTCTTGGCGGCCTGGAGGTGGATCCTCCAGCATCCTCCAAAAGAGAGAGGTGCGCAGGGCACCTGCGGCCAGCCCCATGGCGGGAGGCGATTTCTGCCTGCGCTCAGGATCCGCAGTGGCTGCCGTGGGTCTGAATTTGCCCCTTCCTCTCGTGAGCCTCAAACTCGAGGCAGGCAGTGCTTCCCCCAGGCTCCCTGGAAAGTTCGAAAGCGTGTTAGCAATGAGATTGCTGTCGGAAAAAGAAATTGGGATCTTGGGAGGCAGAACGGTCTTTGACGGCTCTAGTGATGTCCAGCAGGCAATGAAACCAACCTCTGGCTCAGGTCAGCCTCACAATCTCCATGGGAGGTCGTTATCACGTTATAACCAAAGAAAAACCCACTTAATAACCCCCTTCTCTAGCACACGGGCAATTTACTCCGCCATAACTAATCCACTCTAGCTCCCACCCTCTGCATCAATACAAGCAAGCTGGAAACTCAGGGACGGAAAACTTAACTTCATGCACAGAAGAGCTGCATGGAACGCGAGCATAGAAGATGCTCAAGCACCCTCATGCGAGCACGACAAACGGTTACTTCGGAAGTGCGCGGGAAAAGCAGCAAATCAGATATGCCCTCGTCGCAAAGAGCACCTCGTACTGAAGCAAGAAGCCGCTCTTCGGCTCTTCTCTGCCCCCCGGCCGAGAAAATCATGCCAGCACTCTTCCCGCCAGCGCAGCACCTGCCAGATGCATTGGGCTGCAATGCCCATCATCCCCATGGGGTGTGGGGGTGGGAAGGGCGCCTTGGCCTCCTGCCATGCCGGGCAGGCCTGCTCCCAGGCCCCGTGGAGGAGGGACGGGGTGGCGGGGAAGGGGGCATGAGGACGCTGGCGATCCGATCCATGCACGGCTTCCCCTTGCGGCGCCCCTGCGGCTCTGGTGGTGCTGCTACGGGGCCAGGGACACCCTGGGGCGAACCCAAGCACCCCTCCTTGGGCGATGACCCTTTTGGCCCCCATGCTCTGGCGGGGGCCCGGATTGTCTCCCCAAGCCCACCCACGCCCCCTCTTCTCCCCCTCGTGGCAGGCAAAGCTGCACCTTCCCGGGCAGGGAAGCACAAGCCCGGAAGGAAAGGAATCCAAAGAGAGGACCAGACAGGCTTACAAAAAATGCACCATTGGTTCTTTAAGCTCAACCCAGGAAGGTTTTAAGGGGGCAGGCAGTGGGGCTGACCTGGGGTCAATTTTTGGGGTGCTCTAAAGCAGCCAGCGTGGCCTTGAGCCGGCCTCAGAGAGTTCAGTGGATTAAAAAGCCGGAGCGAGCGAACCCAAGCACCTTGGAAACAGGGTGCAGAAAAACAAAGGATATTTTTGGAACAGGCTATCCAGCTGAAGCCCTAATGCAACAAAGAAGGGCTGGGGTCAGTCCAAAATGTACTCTGGACATGCTCAAAGGCACTTTGACGTCTCCTGAGCCAGACAAGGCTCTGAATGACGTCCTGACTTTTACACCAAGGTAACCAGCTTCGCATGGACACAGAACAGACGTATTCCCTGGCCTGGTGCCCCGGATGGGTTGGACTGCAACTCCCAACTGGGAATGATGGGGCTTGCAGTCCAGCCCATCTGCTGCAGGCTCCGACCTGCAATAGTCTTTAACTGCTTTGTTACCCCCGTGTTTTCAGCCTCGTGTGCACGCCAGGCCAGCCTTGTTCACGGTCTGGCACGCACGAGAGGAAATGTGGCTCGCTCGCTTGCTTGCTACACAGGCAGCCGTGCGCTCGCTCACCAGGCCCGTTCAGTTTACATGGTTGCCAGGCAACCGTCTCTCCGTGCAAAAATTCACTTTGGGGCCATTAAGAGTAACTATTTATACCACAACGGAGGGGGGCCACGGCCGAATCCTGCTCTCCCAGACCCTTTCACCAGCAGCCACCTGAACCCAATTTCCGTGCCGATAAGGACAGAATCCCGGGGACCGCGGAGCATTTTGAGCAGATTAGAAAGGGAAATAAGCTGCTCCCACTGGCGAGACGTGTGCCCTTGTGGTGGTGCGCGAGCCGCTCTTGGGTAGTGAGCATGACTGAGCGCCCAAAATGCTTTTCAAGTCAAGCACAGTCCTTCACCGTGAGGACGCATGCGGTACATGACGGGAGGCACGCGGGCAGCCGGATCCTACACGGACCTGCTCACCGCTTCATCCTTTTATCAGCCGAGGTTCTCCCGGCGCCCCCAGACCGAAAGGGTGACGGGGAGGGAAGCTTTTCTGCATGGCGCCACGTCCACCTTGGAGTGTGTCCGCCTGCATTTTGGGCCGCAGGCTAAGCCCTTCCTCGCTTGCCCAACCTTTTAACACCGAGCCGATTTATGCTGCAGTTCCAGGCTTTTGGCAGTGCTCCTCCTCGGTTCCCTTTCTGGCCTTAACTGATTTGCCTTAACTATCTTATTAATTTTGCTTAAATTGCTGGGGATCATTTTTTGGGTGGATGACAAAAATATTCTGCCAGTTCCATCTTCCTGGGAAGGTCCCCAGTCCGTTGGAACACGGGGTGCCTGCAGCTGCTGGTCTGAGCTGCAGTCCTTTCACTGCACCCTGGAATTATGCTTCAGGGAGCAAACGGCACACAAGCATCGCTTGCAGAAATGCCCCGAGTCTGAAGGGCAGCGATCCCTCCCTCCAACTCGTGCTGCCCGTCTTGAAGACATGGCAGCCCAGCCTCAGAGCCTCCCTTTCCCATGCAGGCCGATCGATCGGCTAAGCGGATGGGAAGGCGGAGGAGAGGAACGCCGACCGGCCACCAGGAGTCGTGGGGTCACTAAGACAGGGCGATTCTCCGAAAGGCCAGGCTAACAAATAGCGGAGAGAAGAATTTACTCCACCACGGGCTGTGCCAGTCACCGGTAAAGCAAAGCTGCAAGACTGAAGGGGAAGAGGCAACAGGCCCGTCCCAGGTGCATGAGGGCCCTGCTGGATGAGACAGAGGCTGCTCTTTTCCCACACCTGCTTGCCCTCAGTGGCCACCCAGTTAAATCCGTTCAGTCCATTCGCATGCAGGCCCCGGGCAAACACAAAAGCCCAGGCAGGCAGGCAGGCAGGCAGGCAGGCAGGCAGGCCGCCATTCAGCACAGCAAACTCAGGAGTTGTAGAAGGAAATTCCACTTTTGCACGGGCCTACTGGCTTCCCTCGGAGACATTTTGCGGCAGGCGGCCCGTTCGGACACAAAACCCTTCTCCGTCTCCCCCTCCTGCACACACATGCTCTCATCCACTAAATCAGACTTCCCCAAGCAGGCACCCTTACAAGGTGCTGGACCACAACTCCCATAATACCCTTCAGAATGCTAGCAGCTGTCTGGCACTTCTGGCAGGCACTGGATTGGCCGCACCATGGGGGTGGAGTGGAATTTCAGGTAAGATGCTCCAAGACGTGGATTCCAGGCCAGGCATCCTTACTCTGAATGAGCCGGCGGTTAAACATGCGCTAAGCCAAGTTGTGTTTCGCCTTTGAAGAAGGCCCTGATCCATCCCGCTGGGCGAGCATCTGGGGGTTGGCTCACGGGCACAGAATGGCTTCCTTCTGTGCCTCTCCCCCGCAACGCCTTCGGCAAAGGCAGAAGGCAAACTGGGTGAACCAAGCACCCCACCAGCAAAGGGTGGGGGAGAAGCCGAGGGCAGGAAGACACGATTTCCCCATCGCGGCACCCAGGGGCCTGGTTCAGTTCCTTGCTCATTCTCAGGACTGAAGTAACGCAGGCAGATTCCAAAAACACGCAGTCCCCCAGCCCAAGCCTTGTGAAACTCCAGGGCCTGCATCCGGAAGACCATGCAATCCTATTCAGCCCATTCTGGGCAGCTCTTCTTCGGAGGAACCCATTTTAAAAACATTGTTTTACAGCTAATGTTTGTTCGAAAGAAGGCTCTTTATTTCCAGAAAAAAAATATTCTCAGAAATATTAAAATGCTACCAAGGGGGAGCAGGGATTGAAAAAGGATAAGAGAAATGATTTTCAAGATGTGCACACTCTATTTCCCGATGCCCCCAGAAGGAAGCCCATGAAACCCTCTTGCATCCCTTCGACAGCAGGTGAGTTCTGCCTTGCGATTTGCACCAAACCCACTTCAGAAGGAAGGACTTAGGAAAACAGCGCCACAACAGAGCAACGCTTTATTCGACACCCGTTGCCAAACGGGACTTCAGGTCTGCAAACAGGTACCAAAGAGGAAAATGCATGACAAGGTGTTCCTTCCTCCAAGCCAGATGGCCCAACGCCCCACTTGTCGGGCAGGTGTCAGATCGCAAAAAAAATATTTACACAGCAAGGAAGAGAAAGCACTTTTAAAACCTTAAACAATCCAATCGCTCTCATGCATGCACTCAGAGCTCCGGGGCACAACAGCCAAAACACCAGCACCCCTACACACACACACGCACACACACGGCACCATACAGGTCCCGTGTTCTCTGGTCAGGGCATATCCTGAGTAGCTTCCACAAAAGTGACCTGCTAGCCAAGGAAGTGGGCCTCTTGGGCTACAAAGCACCCCCCCCCCCCCCGTCCCGAGAAATGTATGGAAAGATATATGGCCTTTTTGGCTTTAAGGAGAGAGATGTACGCGAGCCGCGAAGGGGGGGGCACAAGGCGACTGCCAACAGCCTGCGGCGGGATTAGTTCTGGTCCAGAGGAGAGCGGAGGCCGCCAGGAGGCGCAGTGCCTGCTCTTCTCCGAACACAGCAGGCACTTCGGCTCCCCCAGGCTCTGCCCCACTCCCCGGCGAGGATGCGTCCACCCCAGAGTAACCCCGTGTGTAGGGCAGCAGTTCAACGAAGTTCATTTCAGGGGCCGTTACTTCCCAGGAATGTCCGATTTTCCATTACGCCTTCACATCAGCGTGCACCCTCTTTGGCAATCGCTTCATGGGTACGCACACACACTCACACACGCAAAGAGCTGGCACACGCGGGCTTAATCAGCCCTTCCCCACACACACAACATGGCGGCTGGCACACAGGCCCCAAACAGGGCCCAGCCAGGGGGCGGCTCTGGAGTCCGTCTTCTCGCTCCCCCGTGGGAGGGGGCTGCTTACGGAACGGCCGGGGGCGGCTCTGCTCCAGCGTCCGAGGAGCACCACCAGAGCTGCAGGGAGTTGTCCCCGTGCGCCGGACGGCAGCTGGACGGGGCGTCCCCTTCCGTCTCGGCCTCCTCGTCCCACAGGTCAGGAAACGTGCGCTGGCCGGAGGCTGTGGCCAGCAGGGGGAGGCTGGGGTGCAGGCTGAGCAAAGGGGACAGACGGTCAGACGGGAGAGCAAGGGGCGGCAGGCCACCCTCCCCTTGACTCCCGGGTGCGAGGGCCCGGCGCTCATCTCCGATGAGATGCCCCACGGCAGCCCCCGAGGGACTCCCCCAGCCAGGCGTACCTGACCCCGTTGACGCAGTCTTGCAGGGCCTGGAACTGCAAGGTGGGCTGCAGGACCGGGCCGGGGGCACTGCTGGGGGGCTGGGTGGTGTCCCAGGCCGTCACGAGCCCCTCTGTGTCGCCGCTCAGCAAATAGCTGCCGCTCCTGCAAGGGAGGACACAGGACACCAAGCGGTGAGCACGACCCGGCTGGGGAAGCCGGCGGGCCCGGCTGGGTCTCCGAGGACCCACCACCAGCTGCAGGCAAGCTCAAGCCATGGGCCCCTCAGAAAAGTGGAGGCCCGGCTCCCCCACAGATTGTCCCAGGCGTCGGCAGGCGCCCTGAAGCCTGGCGGGCAGCCGCTTTTGCGTGAAAGCGGGAAGCCGCGTCGCGCAGGATCGCGTCCTCCCAGTCCGGCATCCTGTCCCGCCACGGCCGGCCAGTGCGGGGGTCAGTGTCCGTGGCACAGCGCGCGGTGACGGCCCCCAGGCCCCAAGGGGGCGGGCCCCATGCGTGGGGGAGGGGAAGGCTGTCCGCGGCCCCCGTCCCAGCAGCTGCGAGCTCGTCCCGATCGGGGCAGCGAGTCTGTGCACGGCCCACGCTGGGGAACATGGGTGGCAGTGTGCCCCTGCGGTGCCTGGGGGAATCCGGGCCGGCTGCCTGCCTGCACACGCCAGGGGCTGAGGAGCCTGGGTGGGACAGATCCCAGGTGGGACAGATCCTGGGGGCAGCTCGGGAGTCCACGGCACGCTGGACCAGCTGGGCCCCGGGCCTGATCCGGCGGGGCTTTTCCCACACTTTTCGCTCGTCGAGCCCTGTGCAAACAGAAGGCTCCCCAGCTGGGCCCGATCCAGCCGGGGCAACAGCCCCCTCCAGGGATGCTGGTTTCCACACTGGAGGCGACACCCACCCGCCAGGAGCGGCAGCTGCAGATCGCTCGGGCTTTTTGAACACGCCGCTAGCGCTGGGCGTGGAAGGAGCGGAGAGGGTGAGCCGCCTGCTTCGGCCCGCCCCAGCACCGCACGCGCATCCCCACTCCTCCCTGGAGCCCTCCTGCAAGCTGGAACTGGGTGCCTTGTGCTGTGACCGGGGAACTCGGGGGCCGCAGCCTGACCTTTCTGCGATGGCACCCCACGCTTTCTGGTAAGTGTGAGGAAAACTACCGGAGAGCAGGAGCGAGCGGGGCGGAAAAGGGCAGGGAAGCACTCACGGGTCCAGGTCAAAGTAGAGCCTTTGGTTGGTGGCCACCGTTCGGCGCATGGAGAAGAGCACGTCGCCCGGGCGCCGAAGGTCCCAGCAGAGGATCTCCACGTCCTGGGAGGGGGAAGCGACACCACCGCCGCTGGGGGCTTGCCAGAGCTGGAGGAAACAGGGGCCCAGCGCTGCCCCTTCCTAGCCACTTCGGCAGAAGAGGCGCGAAGTCCATGCCCGCCTGCCACACACGCCTCCGACAGCAAGGCCTTACCTTGCGGCCACCCGTGAAGAGGTGGAAGCCATCGGGGGAGAAGAGGGCATGGGTGACCCCACCGCGGTGCCCGTGCAGCATGGCCAAGGGGGCGCCCTCTGCGCGGGAGTAGAGGCCCACCGTCTTGGAGTAGGAGGTGCAGGCGTACAGCGGCTGTGCCGGGCTGAAGGCGATGCAGGAGATGATGCCGCTCTGGCCTTGCTTCTTTGCTGGGGGCGGGGGGGAGGCGGTTAGGACTGGCGGGGCTCGGCTGCCGGGAGGCACGGGCCTTCCTCCGGTCGGCAGCTGGCCAGGCCCTGTGCAAACTGAAGGCACCCTGGGTCCAGTCCGGTGTGGCTCGTCTGAAGCTCTTTCACCGCACCACTCCAGGTGTCCTTCCAGCAAGGGCGCATCGATCAGCGGAGGTTTTGCAATCAAACTTCGGCGGCGCGGCACAAAGGTCTGAAGCCCCTGCCTCTCCCGAGGTCTGAAGCCTCGGATCGCCCCCTTTCTGCTATCCTTCCAATGGCAGGTGGAGATGGCTGGATTCAAGGTCCTTGGCCTGGAAGTGCATGTCTGTTTCGGGAGCTGGCTGTTACGTTTTTGCTGTACTTTCTATTTGCTTTTGTTTAAAATTGCTTCATAAGCAACTTTGAAAGACATTTTTTGGTGGAAAGTACAGAACTTCTCTCTCTCTCTCTCTCTCTCTCTCTCTCTCTCTCTTTCTCTCTCTCTCTCTCTCTCTCACACACACACACACACACACACACACACACACACACACACAGAATTTGAGCTGTTTTCTACCTGGCAAAACTAGTGTTTATTTGCACCATTTTACTCATGTTTTTGGATGACTCGCTGGGTTCTAATGCACTCTGAACATGTGAACCAGACGCGAGTTTAGCTCTAAAACAAATGGTTCACGCCATTTTGGTCTTGAGTCTTTGGAAATAAAAAGTAAAGGGTACAAAAGTGTCAATGGCTGTGGCGGCTCCCTTTGCTCAGATGCTAAAGCAAAAGCGACTATGATACAGCCGTGATATAGAAACTCAGGTTTGGGGGGAGGGGGGATGGGGGAGAGACAGCCCGGCAGAATTCCTCAGATGATCCCACCCCCTTTAACAACTGATCCATGGATGACTTCCTGGCATTTTTCTCATTCTAGCAAGTGGAAATGCCTCAACTAAGACTTAATCAGAGACAGCAGAAGCTTTAAGCTCAGGTAAGATGGGTTTTCTGTATTTTGGTGCCCCTGCTCCGCCTCTGGCCCCACCTACCACGGGAATCTATGAAGATGGAATTTCATCTTCTGCTAAGCAAAGACCTAACACAATCCCAACATGCCCAGCAGCTCTGAAATTCCGCACAGCCCAGCTCACCAAAGGTGGGTCTGTTTTCACAGCTCCGGCCCGGCCGGGACGTCTCAAACACTCTCACAGTCTTGTTAAAGCCACAGAAGAGCTGGGAGCCGTCGGGCGTGAAGCAGAGGGAGTGTGCAGCCGTCAGCTCGTCCTGGGGAAAGATGGGAGGGTCCAGCAGGAAAGGGCTGGGTGAGGACGGGCTTGCGGAGAGGAGAGCGCAGCCGACACGGGCTTTGCTTCCAGGAGAGCAGGCTCGGGAGGCGGCTCATCTCCAGCAGACGTACTCACAAGATGATTGTAGGGGCGGAAAGAGGCCCGCAGGTCTCCGTGGAAAGCATCCCAGATGTGGATGGGGTTGTCACGGCTGCTGCTGGCAACGCTGGCAGGGAAGAGCCAGAGGGCAAGACAGTGAGGGGCCGCTGCGGCTGGGAGGAGTCCTGGGAACGCCGCAGAAGCAGCAGGGAGGCGTGGAGGTGCTGCTGGCTCACCTGTGCCGGGGGGGGGGGGCACAGCCTGTGCCGAACAAGCACCGGCACAGAATCCAGCCCCCACCACTGCTTGTGGAATTTAGCTCCACAAGCTCCTAGCTCTCGAGACCGAGGAGAGGGCCTTGACAGGGACCTGGGGAATATCTCTTGGGCATGCAAGGAGTGCCTGTGTGGGACCGCCCCACGGTCAGGCTGTCAGCAGCCCACCCAGCCCTGTGAAATGCTCGGTCCCCCGTGGACCAGAACGACGTGGAGCAGACAAGCACGTCTCTCCCAACAGCATCATCTGGCAAGCTGTAAGCCTTGCCTTCCTTAGCCCAGGACTGGTTTCAGCACACGGCAGGCAAGACTGGCCTCGCCCGGGAGCCTCCAGCCACACCCCGTCTGCCCCAGCAATGCCCCGGACCCTGCGACCCTCAGCCCCCTCGGACCTCCCTCTCGCTCAGCCCAGAACGTGGTGGCGGCCACTGAACTCCCGGCAGCGGCCAATTTCTAAGGTTCCCGCACCAGAGCCCTTGCTGTGCCTCAAAGCCCAGGGCAGCTCTGGGCGAGCGGGGAAGGGAGCAGGCAGGAAAGAGGGGAGACGGATTTACAAACAAGTCTGCGGGTCGGAAGAATTCATCAGCGGGAACCAGCAGTAGTCATAGACGGTGTCTCCTTCCATCATGCGCAGCACAGGGCTCTGCGGGGGGAAAGGCGGGCTCAGCGGGTCTGGCGTGGAGGTCGCTCCTGGCGCGGCCTCGAGAGAACAGGCCGAGTGCCCCGGCCTCCTCTCCCCGCCACACCGAGGACACTCCTCGCAAGGGGCGGCCCGTTTTTGGCGGGTCGAGCAGGTCCTTCCCTGCGTCGTGGGCCCACGTGTCTCGGGAAGCCTGGCCAAGAGGGTTCCTTTGGTAAGAAACAAACAGGTCAGGATTGGGGGCATGTACTCCTCTTTTAGGGGCGGCCCATGTCTTTCTGCCCTTCGGGGGCAATTCACACCCTGCTTCCCTGAATAAGCCAGCATGTGCACTTGGGTCCCCTCCAGGGATTGAGAGCGACCCCCACCTGGTAGGGGCTGGTGGAAGCAACGCAAAGATTCGGTGGTTCAGCTTGCGCCATTGCAAAGATCCTCCTACGTTCTGCACACTCAGGAAACCCCCTCCAATTAACTACGTTTCCAGGGGTGTTGATGAACTGGGTTTTCTCCCTCCCCCTCCCACATTTGCAGAGCGACATGCAATTGGCCCTCCGTGGGCTGAGGGTTCTGAAAAGTGAAGTTCCCTGTTTGCATCAGAAAGAGTTCAGCCTCAAGGCCAGGAAATTCCTGCCCCTCCCTCCAGCCACCGCCTCCTCTGCCCACTCCATACCATTTCGGCAACAGCACCCCACTCCTCAGTGTACAACTCCGCAGGAAGGTTGTAAATCCGCAGGGTGTTGTCAGCACTGTTGGTCAGCAGGCAAGTCCCATCAGGGGCCCTGAGGAGAGAGCGGCCGCGTAAACGATCCGAGCGCCCCAGCTCCCCGCAGCAGCAGCGCCGGAGAGGCAAACGAGGCGCCCGGGCCATTCTCCACCAGCAGCAATGCACTCATCTTGGACCGCTCCGGCCAACCTGCCCAATGCCCTCATCCTGCCTGAAGGCCTGGCTCTTCATTCTCAGGCCTTCCGCTTCTGAACCCGCAGGGGCTGTTTCGTGTCCCAGCCTCAGACCTCTGGCTCCCTGCCCAAAGATCCTTCCGCATCACCAAGCCTTTTTCCTGAAGCCTCTCAAGGCCTACATGTCTGTGCCCCCCCCCCGCCCCCAGCTGCCACTCTGTTTGCGCTGCTGCTAGTGCGGACCGAGAATCCCCTCAGCAGTGCCTTTTCCGTACGGTCTGCACAACACGTCGCATCGTCCCGTCTGAGCAGGGAAGAGGGCTTGCCACAGCAAGCAGCAGGTTCTCAGCATCTCGGATGGAGAGGCCAGGCAGGTGCTGCAGCTGCCCAAAGGGGGCATCCCTCTCCATTTCCAGCCATGCCCAGGCCATGCACACTGGCCTGTGAACGAGGCCCAGAGCAACGGGCAATGTGGTGCCCCACACCCAAGAGCCAGGCAATCAGACAAAGCCAGCAGGACAGCCCTCCAAGTACATACCACTTACAGCCCTTGAGAAAGTTCTCTGGAACACAACTGTACTCTGCCCAGGAGCCCGTCAGGAGCTTAGGTGGCTGCAAGAAGCTGTATGCTGGAAAGCTGGGAGAACACAGAGAGGCGAGCCATGTCTCAGAGATACCCCTGGGATGCCCCGTTCCCCTTCCAGGCTGCAGCCTGGGCACCATGGGGCAGGAGCCACCCTGCTCAGGACTCCTTGCCTCTCCCACACTCAGGAAGGGAACTCTGCACTCTGGGCTCTCCGTTCTTCCTTCTGGCAAAGCAAAGCACAGAACCCAGGTGTCCTGATCGAGCTCCACCCAGCAGAGAGCAAAACAGTATCAACACTCACTAATATTCTCCTTCTGTTGCCATTTCTCCTCCGTCATCTGCTTCTGCCTTCTTCCCTTCCTCAAAACGCTGTGCTGCACCCGCCATCCTGGGCTCTTCTCCCAAGGGTTCCAAGCCAGAAATGGCCTCCTCGGCTGTCTCTCCATTTTCCTGGCTCCCATTCAGCCTCGGCACCTTAGCAGCAGGTCCAGACACCCCGCCAGCTTCCACGTCGCTCTCATCTGGTTGCTCCAGGTTCGATCCAGCCTGGCCATCAAAGGGCGGCTCACCCTCCATCACGCGAGCCCCAGAGAGCCACAAAAGCCCAATTTTCAAGAAGCACTGCTAGGATAGTGTTTATGCAGACTCTGGCCCTGTTTCCAGCCAGACCTCCCGAAACTGCAAGAGCAGACCACGGCGTCAGATGCTTTCCTCATCCCAGCATAGAATGGGGGTGCCAGCAAGGTGAAAGCTCTGCAAGTAAAGGGCATATTAACAAAGCAAAATGCCTCCCAAGCTGAGCTCAGCTATTCTAGAGACTAGCAGGGTTGCCTGCATTCCAACAACAATGAAATTCAGTAACCCAAACGTTTTAGCTTTTATTTAACAAAGGAGGTACATGTAAAAAGGATACACACTGCAATTCTGTAGGACAAGGAAAGACTAAGCAGATTTTCAACAGCACAGCCTTCAAGAGGATTCTTACCTGCTGCATAGCTAAGGGAAACATACGAGAGAAAATGAACTGGGGTGAGGTATGGACAGGTTTTTAATAAACATTCCAGCACCAAGGAAAGCACAATATCAATACTGATGCAGCAGGCAGTGAAAGCCGTTTTTCTTGGCCAGGAAAAAAGGCAACCTCGAGAGACTCAGGATGGGCTGTGGTTTTGTGGCAGAGTCATGCTCTGTGGGCAAATTTCCTTAGCTTTACCTTTGACTCCCTCCCTTCCTCAGTTCTCTAGGACTGTCGCAAAGTCATGTTGCTGCTCCCCTGGCAAACTGCAAAAAACATGGTCTTTCTACTCTGCTCCCTCAGCAAGCCGCCTCATCCCCGGAATTGCCTGCAGAATACTTCGGCGACACCCCTCCCGCCCTCCCTTCAAATCATCGCTTTGCCCAGCTCTTTAGACCCCACGCCCTTCCGTACCTGCAAAAGAAGCTGCTGCATTTTTTTCCTTGTTTACCCGGGCCTCCCCTGTCTTCCCTGCCCCCCACCGTATTGCACGGTAGACTGTAACCTCTGCGGGGCAGGGACCTTATATTCCCTAAAAGCACCTTGTACGCCGCCTTGGGATCCTTGCAAGAAAAAGAAAGACAGGATATAAATGCCACGTGATGACAATGACCGGGCCGCCTTCGCCGGCGAGGTGCCGTCCAGACGAGTTGGATCCCATCTCCCAGAATCCCCCGCCCCCAGGGAATTATGGGAGTTGCCATCCAAGGCGCCCGGAAAGCACGAGGTTCGGGAAGGCTGTTCTGGAGCACCGAGAACCCGGACGCCGCGACCGCAGTCGCAGCAGTAATATGTGAAGAATAGCAGAGGGTACCGCGCAGAGACCTTCCGCAGCAGCCGCCGCTCACGGGGCGCGCCTGGGCGCAGCCATGACGCCGCCGCCCCGCCCCGTCTCGCGAGAGTTGGGCCGCGGCAACTCTCGCGTCGCGCGCCCGTTGTCCCGCAGAGATGGGAAAAGATAGAGTGGCCCGCCGTGCTGCCCGAGGGGGCTTCCGGGTCGCTGTCGCCCCCGGGCCCCCAGGCATGGGCAGCCGGCCCCGGGCGCGCCTCGCGGGTGGGCGGTGAGGGCCCGGCCCGGCCCGGTCCGGCCGGGGCAGCGAGCCCGGGGCCCGGCCCGGCCACGGGTTCCCCCGCGGTCACGCACGGAGCCCGGGCAAGTCGCTCGCGGGCAGCCCGCCGCCTGCGCTGCAGCTCGAGCCCTACTCCGGGCGGGCCTCCGGCCGGAGCGTCCCTGACCACGTCCCTCAGATCGTAGCAAAGGCCGACCCGGTCCCGTTGCACCCTCCCCCCGGCCTCCCCCCCCCCCCCCGGGCCAGATCCACGCTCCCCCAGTGCACGGAACTTCCTCGACCTGCTCCCGGCAATGCTGGAGTGTTGTGCAAAATTGTGACCACACACAGGCCGTCCTTCCGGTTTGTTCTGCCACGAGAATTTCACAGCCGCCTTTGCTCGGTCTAAAATCAACTGCAAACGCGGATGGAGGGCATGGGAGCAGCCCCTGGCGCATGCACGGCCCTCGCTGCTCATATCACATGAAGGTCCGTTTGCCTGCATCTGATGACACGCGGTCGCGTTCACACGTGCTGGCCCTGCTTTATGAAGGGGTGGCCAGCGACGTGCATTTGCTAGAATTGAGGTCGTCTCTCCTTAACGGACGCAGAGGCGCAGCAGAATCGTGGCCTACGGGATGCATCATTAGCAGAGGCGTTGATGTGAATTGCCACCACACTCAGACTGCCCTGGTCCATCTGGGCCGAGCGGAAATTCTCACGGTTGCTGGGGAGGGGAGGTGCGGGGAAGACTTGCCCCAGTAGTGACTAGGATCGGACAACACACTCGCCGGTTGGGTCTTCTGAACTCAGCCAAGACAGCAGACCAAGCTGAGCCGCCACCAGCTCAAAATCCAGCCACAAACCACAGATTCTCTGCACAGTTAACAAGCCCAGCTGAGTTCGGATGACACAGCAACCATTTGATAACAACCCACACTCAGCCCCTGGGTATCGATTGTCAGGTGTCTGAAGCTCCACTCCCCGTCCCTGCAGGAGCCCCAAATACAGCAGAGCCCCTCCTGATGCCTGGCACTGATCTTTCTGGTGCCAGGCTGGAACCCTCCCCTGCTCCAGGGCTTCGGCTGTTTCTGCTCCAGCCACGGGGTATGGCTGGGATGCGTGTGTTCGCCCTGTCTGTGCTGGTGGATCGGGCATCGCACTGCTCCTCAGAGGTTTTCAGTCTTCGAGACCCACCCAGAGAGAGCGCCTTGGCCGCGGGGCAGAATGGAACAGCGACAAAGTGGACTGCGGAGAGCTGCGTGTCGGCACGTCCGGCACCTGGAGTCCAGAGCTGCCCTTCACCCTGCAGAGCAGCGTCAAGGCAGCGAAGCGACTGCTGGAGGCTGGCAAGGTGGGATGCCCCGTGCCGGGGGGGAGTTAATGTGCACTGGCTTAACCCGGTAACCCCTGTGCCGGGATTGCTGACCAGATCTCTTTGGAGTTCCCTGGCTGGCGGGAGGTGGGGAATAAGAGGACGCCAGCTCCTGGCCCACCTGGCCCTGTCTGTGCGGCCCCAGGGGTCTCCCCGGGAGAACAGCTGACTGTCAGCAACTGGGCGGGGCGAGAGGCAGAGCCGCCTTTAAAAGCTCCCAAACCCAGGGCTGGAGGTCAGAGAGAAGGGATCCCAACCCGACATGAGTTACATCGTCCGTCCGTGGACCGCCAGAGACCTCAAGGATGTGATGCGGCTTATCAAGGTGAGAGTTTGTGTGTGGGGGAGGGGGTTTTATTACTGTTATTAATCTTATTGTTGTTATATCTACTATGCCCCGTAGCCAAAGCATTCTGGGTGGTTTGCAACAGTTTCCCAGAATACAGGAAGCCCTGCGAAGAATATGAAAAGTCAGACATGGGGCTGCATTTCAGTTTACCCTGTTTTATGTGGGCAAGGAAAAACCTCTCAGGACGCGAGCGCTCGTGCACACACGCACACACACACCCTGGTACAAGGGCTGTGTGTGGCCTACAGCTCCCATATTCCCCCAGCCAGATCATCAAACATACTGCTTTTGCACAGCTGTATTTCTCTACTTCTCCAGCCTGGCTGGGGGATTATGGGAGTTGTAATCTACACACATTTGGACAATGCCAGGCCAGGGAAAGCTCGCCCAGGGCTTCAAATGATGGTTGCCTTCAAGGCAGTTGACTTTTTGGAAAGAAAGCATCTTTCTGTTTCTACCCCACTGCCTCCTGGGGCTCTGGACTTGTCTTGGTGGCTTTGGGGTACTCGGTGAGAGGCCAGGTCGCCCAAACCTCCTTTCTAAGAAAAGAGGTGCCCCACTCAGGATCTCACACCCAGGTTTCAGGGTGTACTTTGTATGCACCCACAACAGCTGAATCTCTTTCAGGAATCCGCAGCGTTTCACAAAGCTTTGGACCAAGTCAGAATCACCCCGGAAGGTAAGGCCCGGAGGACATCCTCCCTGTTTCGCCATCAAATCGGTTGCCCTTGCATCAAACCAGCCCTCCAGGGAAAGGTGGGCAAAGCAGTCTTGGAACATGGCTCCGTCCTTGGGAAGTCCGCTGGCTGACTTTTCCCGCTGGCAAAAGCTCCGAGCCTTTGGCAGCTTCAAGACCGGTGGGAAGCCAACAGGTGCAGCGGTGGGAAAATTTCACCCTGGAGTCCCTGCGTTCCTGTGGTGCCATCCTGGAGCTTGCCGTATTCCTTCATGGTCTGGATTTGCATTTTATTTCTCCAAACTGTAAAACATTTAAACCAGGAGTCTAGCAAGCCGCAAAGCAAAGGGCTTCCCTAGAGCACCATCTTTTTTTTGGGGGGGGGGGGGCGGGGGTCCAAATAAGTGACCTGTTTGTGTTCCTGTTGCCTCTGCCCTCTGTTTGGGTTCTTGGACCTTATCTGTGCTCCTCAGCATCAATATTAACCACCAAGAGAGCCTATGGGGCAGTATAGAAGAGCAATACATAAACAATATTATCACGTTATATTTCTATCCCACCTTTTCTGCTCTTGCAAAGAACTCAAGCCAGCTTGCAAGTTTCTCCTTCTCTCCATTTATCCCCACAACAGCCCTGCGAGGTAGGTTGGCCGAGAACCTGTGACTGGCCCGAAGGCACCTAGCAAGCTTCAGGCCCGGATTCTTCCTGGTTCCCAGCACTCTCTCGCCACAAGGCGGGCACGGGCCGGCTTTATCCCCACGGCGGCCATTCACTCCTGGAATGCCACATGCCATTTCAAGATGATCCCCAAATGGCCAATGGAAGGAGGGGATTTTTCTCCAGCCAGCCAGGCTGGCCACGTGGCCAGGGACTTCTGGGCGAGCTACCACCGGCTGGTCGGTGAGAGTCTTGTGAGGGGCCAGTAACCACCCTTCCTAAGTCCTTTTGCAAGAGGGTGGACTTGGGTTCAAGGATCAGCAAGCTCGTTTCAGTTCTGCCTTCACCTCTGAGAAAGCCCGTATCTTGCCTTGTAAATATTAACCCCTCTTAATGGGACTGCAGGACATCTAGTTCTTTGTAAAAAAAGGGGAGACAGCTCGTTTTAAAGATTTGTCTTCTGTCCTGGAATGCCAAAACCATGGAGCAGCTGGTCTTCCCCAAGCTGGAGCCCCCCAGATGCATTGGCTGACAACTCCCATCATCCTTTGGCCATGGTGACTGAGAGCTGCAGCCCAAGGGATCTGGATGTCACCTGGGAGGGGAACGGTGGATGTGCCTTCCTTCTCTGCAGAATCCCTGTTATTTGCAGTTTTCATCGCTGAAGAAAGGCTTGGAAAGAAAGGACTCCTGGTCATGTTCGTTTTTAATACACTGCTTTTGCTTTGTATATTTCTGTATCTGTAGTTCTCCAAGCTGATGCGTTCGAGAAGGAGGCAACCTTCGGGTGCCTGGTAGCTGAAGTGCCACCAGAGCACAAGAGCAAAGAGGGTAAGGAACCCCAGGACCTTTGGGAAGCCCGCCTTCTGCCATGGGTGGCACGAGGGGAGGGGCATCCTGAAGCACCCAGCAGAAATTTGAGCAGTTTGGTGGCTCAGGAGTCAAGCCACAAACCGGATTCGATCTCTCATAATTATGGAAGCTGTTTTTATTTATGTAGCCGTATGTTGTGGGAAAGAGCAAAAACCATCCACAGGGTCCATGACGAGCCGGAGCCAGGGAGGCCCCTCCCTGTGCCGAGATTAAGATTCCCACCCGGTTTCCTCATGCAAGGAAGCCGAGGTGGCTTGTTTAGCCACCCTCCCCATCTGACCCTCACAACAGCCCTGTGAGGTGGGCTGATAGTCTGCAGTGAGCTTTGTGGCCAGTGGAGGAGAAGGACCCGGCTGCCAAAGTTCCAGCCCACACGGCTCTCTGGAATGGCCGTCAGACCCGTTGGACCATCCCAGTGCACAACAGCCCGGAACCAGCCCAGTCCCCGATTCTAGCTGAGCTCCAGGGTAGTGGAAAGGATTCTTATCCCCTGTCCATGTTTGCCCTGCTTTCCGTTCCACTGCTGGAAACTTGTGAACGCCTGAATCTCGTTTGTAAAACTAATTAAGCACTGGAAGCAATCGCCAAGATTTAAGTGGCACAACACTGACTACCGTATTTTGGTAAAGCAAATATATCAGTTGTAAATCCGGACCTGCACCGGTTGATTGCAGGGCGGAACCTTTCAGGGCTCTTAGTCTGGTGGCGACTTTGGTCCTGCTCAATGCGATAAAAGAAATCTGTTTTCTTCCTCAGGTTTTCTTCCTGCAATTATAATGCATCATAAAATATTATTAACATTTGATAATGTTTCTAAGGAACAAACACAACCGCTGAACGGGGCCCTCTGTATTTTGCTTTGGCGAATGAACGAGCGCTCGCACTGCTGGCTTAGCGTGGCCTGTTTTTATCCAGCAGTGGGCAGATGTAAAAGAAAAAAGCCCACAGATGAAGAAATAGTTTGAATACAACGAATTTAATGGGTGTGTTTTATAAACATTACAGTCCTTGTATTCAGTGGACAACCCTGATTGTCCAACTTTTGTGTGTTCGGTTTCTTGGGCATCCAATAAAATGTGAGTGAGATTTTAGGATGCAATTTTAATTGCTGCCCCAGAGGAAGGAAACCCTTTTTTTTTCCAAAATGCACTGGGCAAAATAAACATTTTCTTCGGGAACCTCAGAACCTCCCCATGTTTGTTTTGTGACTCTTCCCTTCTTGTTGGCTCTTCATCTGCGTTTTTTCTCTCCAGGTCACACGATTGTTGGCTACCAGTTCCACTATCTGTCGTACTGCACCTGGGACGGGCCCATTCTCTTTGGAGAGGATCTCTATGTGCTGCCAGAATTCAGAGGTAACCAGACTCAGTGCGTCAGGAAGACTTTGAGGCCAAGGTGGGAGTGGGGTGGGAGCCACGATCCTGGCTCCGCAGAAACGGCCTGCATTGCATAAGCCCCCAGAGGGGAACCTGCTGGAGAGAGAGAGAGCCGTCTCCAGACGGCCCCAGGCATTGTATGTTGTCGCCCAGCAAGTGCCCCGACTTTGTGTGGCTTGGAATAGCCCTTCAGTGGAGTTGTGCGCCCATCGGGTGAAGGCCTGGCCCTCGGCAGCCTTGCTCACGGCCCCTGCTGGGGCTCCATTGCCCCTGGGGCAAGGTATCCCCATGGAGAAATCACACCAGTGGTAAAGGACACCCTGAGGAATTCCCAGCACCCCGTCTTCCTCGAGGACACAAAACACTTGCTCCATGATGGGGCTGACTGAGCGGCTTGTTCGAATTTCTGGCTTTTTAAAATGTAACTAGCATTGCAGGGTAAAGGCCAAAGAGAAGAATGTTCAGCTACTTGTCCGCTTTTATGCAGACTTTAACCAACGTGTTAGCCATTAGAATAATTCATTGCTTAAGAAAGTAAATTTAATTGCTACACCCTGTTTAGCAGTAAGTAACTTTCATTGCTAGCCCCTGTTCTGATAATTCTTTGGCTTCCAAACCTATTACACACTGCAGTGCTTTTTGTTGGCCTAATTGTGTGCGCATGTACACACTTGACCATTCTGTGACAATTTTTAATTGGAGCAGTCAATTGAAAAACTTTTTCAGCCAGGCACTTCTCCAAATTAAAGGGGATTCTCTGTCTCTGTCTGTCTGTCTGTCTGTCTGTCTGTCTGTCTCTCTCTCTCTCTCTCTCTCTCATTTTCTTGCGCAGGCAGAGGGATTGGGACCAGTTTACTGAATAAAGTGGCAAAGGTGAGTCTGGAAGGGCAGTGGGGCAGGGTGGGGGTCTTGCTGCAATGGTGAGAACAGTTGTACCAGCCACCCCGGGGGCCACACGCAGTCCCTGACTCAGTCACCAACAGGTAGTCCAGCCACGTTCGTGCTGCAGCCAGCTGGGTCACCCTTCACACACTGGGGGGGGGGGGGGGGGGCACTCCTGGTGGTGGAGACCGCTTCAATCCGTCTCTCTCTCTAGATTGCACTGGAGAGAAACTGTTTCCAGTTCCGCTTCGTCTCGGCCAAATGGAACCAGGCCGCAACAGATTTCTTCTCCAAGCTGGGCGCCGTGAACGTCACAAGCCAGAACTACTGGAACGTGCTCCACGTTGACGGGGAACATGTCTGGAAACTGGCGGAGGAAGCCAGGCGGTCGCACCCCAAATAGCACGCAGATGCAGGTCCCCTTTCCAAGCCGGGAATCTTGCCTCGTCACCCCGGCCCCCCACTCCAGGCTGCTGTAGACCCCAGTGGGTTTCTCCCCACTGGGCCCAGCTCAGCACCTTTGAGCCCCAGTTTTGTCTCCCTGAGTTGCACATTTGGACTGTGCTCCCCTCCCAGGGACCCCAACATGCCCCCTGGTTCCACCACCCTCTCCCCACCAGAGAAATCCCAATCTCCCGCCTCTTTATCCCATGTTGAATTCTGATAAAAGTTTGAAGCAGTAGTTTGAAACAGCAGAAGGATCGCCTGCCCCATCCCTCATTCAGGGAATAAATGGCATTTGATTGCTGTATTCTAGCGCATCATTTCCTCAAAATGTGCACGTTCTCTCTTACCCAGCCCTGTGTCTCAAACAGCGGGGAATCCGTGCAGGGTCTGAGGGACAGAAAGCGAGAGAATGGCTCACTTCACATGTGATCTCAGCCCAGGGTACGGGGTGTCTGTTAGCTGTCCCTGGCTTGTTGTTCATGTGTATGTTATGGTCACGTGTGAACTCTGCAGTTTGGTTTAACTCTCTGGTGTTAACTCAACCCAGAGTTAAGCTACTGTGCAGGGTTCACATGCAATAGCAGCCTGAGAGTCAGCAAACCCCCCACTCAACAGGGACTCTGGATTGCCACTGTGTGTGGCGCACAGATCGTGGCGCACAAGTGACCAGCAAATACACCTGTGGGACAGTGTGCAAAGGATTTCCACGTGCACGGGCAGCTTTCTGCCGGTCTTTCACAAACGCGAGCCCCAGCGCCAAGTCGAATGACTGCGGAAGCTCTCCACGGGGCCGCCGGCTCGGATCCTGCAGCCATCTTCCCCAGATGCATTAAGCTGCAACTTCTCCCATTGCCAGGAAGCCTGGTGGCCAGTGGCCTTGCTGGCCCAGGGTGATGGGGGCTGTAGTCCAACACACCATGGCAGTGCTTGGTGGGGGAAGGCCGCACTCGGGGCTGAAGCAGGGACGCTTTGCCTCTGCTGCTCGCCGGACTTTTGGGCTGCAGGTGTGTGGCTCTATCCTGAGCAACCTGGTGCTCTGCTGGTGGGGGATAATGGGCATTGTAGTCCAATCCAGCTGGAGGGGAGGAGGTGGTGAGTGTCTGGCTTCCAGTTCACCCTAAAAGCCCTGTTTACATCTCCCCTGAGGCAGAGGTGAGAACTGCCCGTTGGAAGCAGAGGAGAAATCTGGCATTTTGCCCTGGGGAGCCGGACTGCGAACCACTCTGGGTCCTTGCCGCCCCTCCAGGCCCTGAGGCAAAAGGGCCCCCCGCCGGCAGCGAGAGGCAGGCGGCATGGCTCCCTGCGTCGCAGGTCTTGTTCCCTCTGAACCAATCTGGTTTATTCCTGCAGTTTGCAGAGGCGTCAGGACTGCCACAAGATGCGCGCGTGTGTGGAAGGCCAAAAGAACCTCTGCCTCAGCTCTGACGGCACTGGCAGAGGACTACCCCGCAAGGCTGGTGTAACCCCCCCCCTCAGCCACACGCCACCCCCTCTCCCCAGTTCCCTCCACCAGCAACATGCAGATAACAGACCGTAGCTGGCATTAGACCACCATGCACATGACCAGCACACTGACAAACATTTTTTAGGGTGTGATCTTAGGAAGGTTTAAAATATTTAGGGCAGTGGTGGCGAACCTATGGCACGCAGGCCACAATGGGCACACAGAACCCTGTCAGCACGCAAGCCAAGTCGGCCCCGCACCGCCCCAGCAGCCGAGCATCAGGTAACAGCGCGCACAGGGGCCGTGCGCATGCTTGGAAAGGAGTAGCGGCGCCAGGCGATGTCAGGAGCCGCAACTCCTTAGCTGCGACTCGTCCAAACTTTTTCATGGCTGGTCAGTGGGCTGCCAGTCTTCATGTTTTATTGCAGTGTTGTCCCTTTGCGATAAATGAGTGAGTTTTGGGTTGCAGTTTGGGCATTCAAGTTTGCCATCACTGATTTAGGGTGTGCTCCTAGTCAAATTCAGAGGGGATGGCCTACAACTCCCAGCATGCCAGCCTCCCTCTTTCCGATCTAAACTTGCATAGGATCGCATCTTTAAACACCTATCCCGACAATAAACGACATCTTTAGAACCCACTCAGACTTGGATGAACCCAGTTCTCCAACCTAGTGCCCTGCAGGAATACATCATTCCCAATTCCCAAACTGGGGGTGATGGGAGTTGCAGTCCAAGCCGTCAGGAAAAGTTCTGCACCTATGCCTTAATGTCTTGTCTCTAGTTGTGCCTCTTCCCCCTCGTTTCTAAAGGGCTTTTCCACGTTTTTTCCTCAGCGAAGAAACCCAAGAGAATCCGAAGGAACCAGGGCGTTCCCGACTCTACAGTTTCCTAGCTCTAAGTTTCTGTCACACAGCTCACAGAAGCCCCACCCCTCGCTCGAATCTCGCGAGAGGTTGATGTCTCAGTCGCCAAATCACCCAGGCTCTTCCGTTTGTGGCCCACCCTCAAATCGCGCGATATTACAGCACCACGTCCTGCGAGATTTCATTTTCGGAAGGGACTGTTGACGGCGTGACGCAACACTTCATGAAGCCTAGTATTCTGTCTCCGACAGCGGCCAGCCAGTCCTCCCCTCCCAAACTTTTATGGAAACGATATTTGCATTTAAATAGGATTGCCCTTCCCCAACCTGGTGCCCTCCAGATGTCCTGGATCACATTCCCCAAACTCCCCAGCTGGCACAAAACCACTAGGAAGACTGATTTTGCAGAAAAGCTGCAGTTTCCAACCGCAACCCTTAAAGCCCAAGTGTGTAAACCCCACTGAACACAGCGTGGTCTTCTCTCGAGTAAGCCCACAGTGGACTGCAGAGCCTTTCTGGGGACTGCTGGAATCGTGCCCGACTTCAAATTTCACTGCTACGGCAAGTGACCACCCTGCGTTTGCACCGTGCGCTTGTTGGAAGCAGCTGGCTGAGAGTCGGAAGTGCACTTCTGAACACGAGTGCAAGGGGTTAATCATCCCTTGCACCAGCAGAAGAAAGCCTCCTTTGTTCGGCTTAGGTCTGCAGCCCATCAGTCCCCTGGCCTCTGGCAGGCGGGTTTGCTCTTTCCACAGAACTTCACTTGGCTTGCCAAGTCCTGCCCCACGAAGGATTAGCAAAGATCCCAGTATATCTCTCCCCCCTGCAGAGATCAGATTCCAATGTACATAACGATTACCCATCCGCTCGTGAAGCTTCCTGGCGTAAGGTTTCTACACAGAGGCCCTGCATCCAACCCACGCATCCAGTATTAAGGCAGGTTTTGCTTTATTCTACAAGGCGACTGTCTTTCCCACTCCCTTTGCCCAGATAGGCCTACAGCAAAACTAGGAAAAAGATTCCCCTTACAACTGGGCATTCCTGAGAGATTCGGCGCCATAAAGCATTTTTACAAGAGCAGGGCATGCCGCACGCGCTTGCCTTACCGGGATATCACCTGTGAAAAAATATTCTGGTTCAGGCGCTCTGCCGATTTTTCTGGTGCAGTGCGGGTCCTTGTGCATGAGGCAGTAAAGGCGGGGCTGTGGCAGGCACGATTTGCTAAGAAAGATTTGCAGATGTTCCAGATTCAAAATCAGGTGATGGACCTGGGGTCTTGAAAAAGGATCAGGATTCCTTTGCGTCCAACTTGGATTAAACATAAGCCCCTCTGCAAGGCAACACGTTGGCTCCAGACCCGATTTCCCCCCAAAGCTAGAAAGAGAACGCAGGTTTCTTCCGTCACCTACCCCCCAGCAAAAAAAGGCGAAAAGAAAATGCCAGCATCCCAGGAGCATTAAGTCTCACGGTCTCACTTCTATGGGAGACCAGGAGTGCTTGGGTTCATCAGTGCCTGTGTCCGGGCTTGGCCTCGGCATTGTCCTGGGCGGGTGCCGAGAGGGCTCGGCTGGGCGCCGCTAGAGACGGAGGAGCCCCAGGAAGGTCCCGTGAGCACTGAAGTCGAAGGATGCGTTGCAGCGTGGAATGTAGAGGTTCAGGCGGTCGCCGTGCTGGAGGTGGAAGACCCCTGTGGGGAGGCAAAGGGGGTCAGGCAGCGGGCATGCAGGGCGGGACGGCCCTCCCGGCCCCTGCGCCTGAGCATCCTTCCCCCACCGCAGTGGCCCCTGCCACCGACGCCTCCATTCGGCACCAGGGCCGATGAGGAATAGCCGTGTGCTCAGTCCGGCTTCTGCAGCCTGCTTGTGTCCCCTTGCTCCACATGGGTGCATCAGCCCCCCCCCCAGCTTTTGAGGTGCCCCCCAGCCCTTTCCTTCACTTCTCCCCACAGGCTTTCCAGCTGGAAAGGTGCTAGCACACCCTTGCCAGTTTTCTTTTTTATGGAATGGACCTGAGAACCTCATGGTGCTGAATTCTGCACTCGCCGCTCTTTGCGGGCAGAAAGCAGCCCTGCATTTCCTGTCAGCGGTTTCACGTTAAACGAGGCTATTGGGTGCCCCGCCGGGTTCATGCTTTCCACACCTTTTCTCCTTTCTGCGGGGCAAGGCAAGGAGGGAGACGACGCAACTTCAGAGTATTCTTGTTGGGTATTTTAAGTCATGGGGTGGAACTCTCCAGAACTTGGTGAACTACAGTTCCCATCATCCTCACCATTGGTTCTGCTGGGTAAAGACACCCTACTAATGTTGCCCAGATCCTGGACGAGACATTTGAAAGGGCCAGAAAACCCCACGGAATACATGGGGGATGCCCACTCATTTTGAGTGCGGCACATTGCCTCTCCAAAATTCAACAGGTAAAGCACTGTTCAGCATGAAGATGCAGGGTGGAGTGTCTGCCTGTCTTCCGTCCCAGATGGTGCAGGAGAAGGACAGACAGACAGCCAACTGGAAGTGTTTGTTCCCAACCGCTGGATCAGACTGGCCCTCCCAGGTGTTGGGAGTGAGAAAGATAGCACCCCAGTGAGGCAAACAGATCGCTTGATTTGAAGAGATCGTTCCATCCAGATGTGAAGCAAGCAAGAGCGATCCCTTGTGGAATTTATAAGATTCGACTAGAGGGAGATGGAGTCCAGCATGAACCGCTGAAGATTTCATAGGAAATAGATACACGGAGGGATATAGGTAAGGAAAAATGGAAAAAATACAGGATAAGAGACCACTAAAAGGCATGTCAAGTAGAATTGAGGAAAAAGTTTATGAGTTAGTAAAGAAATGGTACCTGACACAGGTAAAACTATTCTATATGGATAATAAATATTCCAATTTATGTTGGTCAAAAAGTGGGTACCTATTTCCATATGTGGTGGAATGAATAAATTGATTAATTACTATGTAGCCAAGGTCCTAGTGGAAGGGTGCACAAGATATTTTATTAGTTTTTTATTATTAGTTTTTTTCTTTCTCTTTCCCCCTTTTATCTATGTATTTTTTGTTGTTCTTGATGTATTTTTGTATTTCTATTGGGTTTTTTTAGTTTTGTACTCTAGATTATCAAGACAGAGAGAACGAGCCCCTCCCAAGACATGTTCATAAGGAGAGTTCCAGGTGGTAAACACTAGATCGGGTTCCACAAACCGCTCTGAGCATGCTCAGAGATCCATTCCTCGTGATTTGTACTTGGGAGCAATAAAGAATGTTTTGCAAGCAAAACAGACGGTGCCTTGGCCTGCCTGAAGCAGGAACCTTGACTCACAACGCCAGGAGGCCCGCCGCCGGCCCGCCCGTCCCTTGCCCCCTGCCAGGCAGGCCCGCCTCTCTCACCTCCGCTGTAGCAGCTGTTGTACGCTCGCTCTGGGTCTGCGGGCATGCTCTGGATGCAGCGGAACAGGACCTGGTTCGGCCGCCCTGGCGCCAGCCGCTGCAGCACCTGCCCCATGGTGAAGGTGGGGTCATGGAAGAGCACCTGGGAAGCAGAAAGGGGCAGTCGCTGGCTCAGGCTGGCAGGACCGGTGGCGGAAGGACGGCGAGGCGTGCGGCAGCTAGCTCCCTTCCGGCACAGAGCGGACTGCCAGCCCGCCCTCGCCGAGCGCCCGTGCCTGCCGTGCCCCCCATCCCAGCCCGCACAGTGCCAGCCACGGAGAGCGGCTCTCCAGCACCGCGGGCTGGTTCTCCTCGCTCTCAACGGAGAGAGCGGGACCGAGCGGCGCTGGAGGTCACGTGGCCTCGCCACGCAGGGGGACCTGCCGGCACCCCTCCGGCCCCGAGCTTCGGCCCCTCCGCCTGCTGGAGGTCACGTGGCCTCGCCACGCAGGGGGACCTGCCGGCTCGCCGAGATGCGTGGCCGGGCTGCTCCCGCCCCTTACCTGGCTGTACACGAGGTAGAGCCCCGTGTGCTTCACCAGCACGTCCCGGCCGCTCAGCTCCAGGGCCCGCCCTTGCTGCAGGAAGGGCTTCCACCAGACCTCCGTGATACATTCCCCGTCTGCGGAGGGAGGGAAAACGGCAGTGACGCTGCGGTGCCCACGCAGCGCCCAGACTCGCACGCCCGCCTGCCTTTCATGGACGACTCCCGCGAGGAGCGTTCTGGTAGTTCTGCACGGACCGGGGCCTGGCTGGAGTCTGCCAGCAGAGCCTTCGCGGGGTGGCCCCATTTCTGTGGAATTCCCCGCCTCGGGAGGCGAGACTGGCACCAGCCCCGTGTCAATCTCAGTGCCTGCTGCAGCCGTCCTTGTTCTGGGAAGGCTTTCCTGGCCTTCTCCAGCCATGGGTTTAACCTTATTCGGATTTTAGTGCATTCTTCTCCTCCTTTAATCTGTGTTAGCTCTGCACTGCCCTCCACTCTGGAATCTGCCTCGATTTGGAGCAGTTTGCACGTTGGGGAGAAAGGAAGGGAGGAGGAGGGCTGGCTGGCTGGCTGCTGTGGAGCGGGACCATGGCAGAGACCCAAGGAGAGCAAGCACAGGTGGATTTTCCACCTGCCCCTTGAGCAGGCAGAAAAGAAAAATGCCAGGAAGACACGCACCAGCAAAAGAGCCGCCGTCATCTGGAAGCGCAGTGAGGAACGGTCCTTTGCTGGCCCGCTTGCGGTCTGGCCAGCCGCCCCAAGGAAGCCTCGGTGGCCAGGATCCAGCAGAGGCCTGCTTGTGTGTGGGACAAAGAACGGGGAACTCCCGGGCTGACTTCCCTGCACCTGTGCGCCTCGATTTGCTTTGCTTTTCTCGGGAGACTAGCCCGGGCAGCAAACCATGTTGGAGGGGAGCCGTCCTCCCCGGCTGGGGTGACCCACGGCGAGGCCTCTGCACGTGCCCAGGGAAAGGGGCGGCGAGGACGGGCGCAGGTGTGCGGGGCAGCCAGGAGGAGCCGCTGCAGCTTTGCAAAGCGGCCGGGTGCCCCCGGCCCTCCTCACGTCCTCAGGGAATCCGAGCATAGCTGCGGGGCTCGGGGCTCTTTTGGCCAGGCTTCCCCAAGCCAGCGCTCTCTGGAGGCAGTGGGCTCCCGCCTGGGGATGATGTGTGCTGCATCATGGGGGCCTGAGGATGATGGGAGCCGCAACCCGCCTACTCTCCCTTGCCTCTTTGCAAAGAAATGCCCGTTTTTCAGATCATGCTAGCCACAAAGCCACGACAAGCTCCTAGCAGAGGGAAGCAAAGCAGGCCCGGCAAGGAAATGCTTCCGGTCTGGAGAGGGCAGGCCGGGAGCCCTGAGCAAGCCCGGGGCGCAGCCTCACAGGTGGATCCACAGGCAAGGAGCACCTTTGTTGGAATTTATGCATAATTACCTGTACTAACAGCAGCACGTTATCCTGCTGAGATAGGCATCCATCACGGAAAACTGACTTAAGTCTCACATAACACATAAAAACATAGAAACTGAGCAAGTCAGAAGGGGTCTCCCAGGCCATCTAGTCTGACCCCTGGCTCCAGCCGGCTCACAACATGTCTCCCATTTGTTTTTGAGTTTTGAAAAGCAACACTCGCATATTCCTGTCTTTGTATTTCCACCCTTCACCTTGCTGCCCTCCCCAAATTGCAAACGCCTGACAAGCCTTTTGAAAGGTTTTGTTTTATCTCCCCTCCACTTTGTTGACTGGGGTTCTGGTTTTGGTTTCCAACGGGGTGGTCCAAATAAATAACGTAAAAAGAGCAGGCCTTCGCGAGCAGAGGTGCCATCTCGAAGGAACTCAAAATGGAAAAGGAGGCGCTGGTCCCAGCTGGGCCCGTCTGCTGGGGACAGAAGCTGCTTCCTGCCCTGGTAGGTGTGCCCAGAGAGGAGGCGGAGAGGCTGAGAGAAGGCTCCGGAAGAGGGATGGCCGCGGAGCGCTGCGAGGGCCAGGGGGAGCGGAGGGCCACGTGCAAGGGACGCGTGTCGCAAGAGCAGCGTGGAGCAACAAGGGGAAAGCAAACAGAGCGGATGCGGGAGAGGGACCCACGTGGGCGGAGGCGGAGGCGCCCTCCGCCTGAGCCAGCGCTGCCGTGCCCTTTGCATGGGATCCACTCAGGCCAGCTCCGAGAAGGAACCCCGAAGGCGGAGAAAGACGTCAAATGACGGCATGGACGAGACACGGCACAGTGAACGGCAGGGCTAAGAAGAGGGAGGATGAGTGGGGACGGAGGCGAGGAAGAGGCCAAGTGCCTTCCGGGCTGCCTGCAGCATCAGGAGAGGTGCACAACACCCCTGCCCAGGTCCCCCGGCTGCTGGTGTACTGAGGCATGCATCCTCTGACCGTGGAGGTCACAGCTGGGCCGGCAAAGCACCTGTGCAATCCCCTTAGCTGTCCAAATCCACTTTAATTCGAGGAAGTGAATTTCCCAGTCCAATTCTGCACCGGGCGAGGAAATCGGCCTTTGTGTCTCTCCTAAATATCCCACCGCTCAGGTGGAATATTCCCTGTCGGGTCCCAGCGTTATGAGCCCTCTCCACACCTCTGTCCCCACGCCAGGCCTAATGCTGGGCCCCTTGATCTGTTCTTGTTCTGCCTTTTTCCGAAGCACAACATAACCCCGGATTTTGGAATCTTTCCTTGCAGGAGAGCTGCTCCAACCCCCTCCTCATTTTAGCTGCCCTTTTTCCAAGTCAAGAATGATATTTTCCAGGTGTGGCGGCCAAGACTGCCCGTGATATTTTGTGGCACCAGAGTATGCGAAAGAGCACAATCTTGGCAGTTTTGCTTTTGATTCCCTTCCCAATTACGTCCAACGCGCAGCTTGCCTTTTTCACGGGCTGACGGTTTCGTCCAGCTGCCTGCCATCACCCCAGATCGCTCCTTGCGCAGTCGCTGCGAGCTCAGCCTAGCCTCCAAGCTGGGCTGTTTTGCCCCCAAGCGCATGATTCCCACATGCTTCCACGGAACCGCATTTGCCATCTTGATGCCCCTTCTCCCAGCCTGGCAGGGCGGCGGGGGGGGGGGGTCTCGCTGGAATGCGTTACAAGGGCTTTTTGTTTTTTGGCATCGTTGGAAAACTTGGCCACTGTACAGTTCACTTCCAACTTGAGACCATGTATGAGCAAGAGGCTAGGCATCAGTCCCCATGGGGACTGTCTGAGGAGCATCCCTGTCTTGGAGGAATTTGGCATGCACGCCTCCTCTCCGCTTTCTGCTCTGCAGCCAGTGGCTGAGCCATGAGAGGCCATCTCCCTTCTTCTCCCCTTCCTGATTAACTCTCAACAAACTGGTCAATGAACTGGGAAGAAGAGAATTATAGCAGTCAAGACCACGAAGAATAAAGAATAGAGCAGTGATCCATTTTCCGGCAGGAGCCAGCACAACTGGGAAAGGGGAGGAGTTTTAGCGATGTTCAGCAGTTGGAAAGGCCAGGTGTGAGTACAGGAGGTGCAAGCAGAAGAATTCCTGCGGCTCCCAGAGCATCATACTTGGGGGGAGGTGGAGCAGAACCTTTGCCCCAACCCTCCAGGTGCTGGAAGGTCGAGCGTGCGGCACCGGGCTGGCCAGGGCTGCTTTTGGGTGAGGCTACACGGTGCTCGCACTGGCTATTTGCGGGCGCGTCGTGTGAGCAGAGGTGACGCCTGCAGCTCCCAGAAATCCCAAACCTGGCTGCCCCCCCAGCAGGTTTCTCGGGGCAGCCGGGAGTCTGGGGGAGCAGCTGAGCTTCCTGAGGCCTGTTTGTATCTTGCCTGCTTCCCAGTCCTGCAGCTTCCTCCAGCCGGGGGCACTGCACCACAATACCCATCATTCCCAGTCAGCAGGAACGGCAGTGTTTCCAAGGGGACTCCAGAACTGTCTCCGGCCATTCGGGAAGAGCCAGCCAGCGCCGCGGGCTCCCTGGCCCCTCTTTTCAATCGCCTGTGGCACGAGCAGAGGGCGAGAGGGCAGCTGTGGCTGCTCCAGCAGGGGAGCAGCAGATTGCAGGGGGCAAATCTGGGGTGCTCCGGCCAGCAGGCCCCTAGCAGGGTTGACAGGTTGTCCCTGGACGCCCGGGCTGGCCTGGTCTCAGTGAAAGGACGCCGCTAGGCTCCACCGCTGCAGCCAGTTCGGCTCATCCTGCAGCTCCCCTGGTTATGGCAGGGAATCACAGGGCCAGGAGGGGGTCCTCAGAGGTCATTTAGTCCAGCCCCCCTTTCTTAGCAGATTGCGAGAAGATGCTGCCTGCTACACCGCTGAGAGGGAAACCACTCACCTTTGTTGGCTTGCCTTTCAGGGACCAGATGCAGGGCCGACTGCTTCCCTGGCGGGGGAGAGAGACAGCCTGAAATATTTGGGTTCAAGGGTTAATTCTTGCCTCCTTTTCCAAATTTAAACCCCCACAGTTGCCCATGTATCCCCCCGCCGCATCCTTGTTCTGCTTCCCCCAGTCAGGTTCTAAGGAAGAAGGGGAGGGTGCCCGTTCACTCGTCTACAGGGCAGAGGAGGAGCTATAACGTAACGGGATCCGCTGGGCATCTTGTCCGAGTGGGCGGATCAGGGCCCCCAGCCTGCAGTCGTGAGCGAACTGTGGAGACGGGACTTGGAGGCCACTGCCCTGTTTCCTTCAGCTGGAACCAGACTGGGCAGCTCTTGCCTCCGAGGACTCTCCGCCATAAAACAGGCCACTGGGCCAGCCAGGGTGGCAGGCCTGTGATCACAGACTCCTAGAACAGCAAGGTCGGAAGGGGCCAAGGAATCCAGCCCCCCGCCGTGGCAGGTCACCATTTCCACCGTCCCACTCAGGTGATGCCTGAGTAGTGCAGGAAAGGCACCCTGCACATGCTCAGGGGTACTATATTTATTGCAACTGAGACCCAACAGTGGGAAAAGTTTCCAGAAGCAGGTGAGCTCCCTGTTCATCTCGCTGCAGCCACATTGGCCCCGTGTGACGAATGAAATGGGCTTGCCAGGTAAAAAACACGTTGCGCACGGCCCTTTGCCCCAGGTGCACCTGCCAAATTCAAGTAATGTTTCCGTGCATCTGGTGATACCTGGATCTGGGAAGCGTTTTTTCTAATAAGAGGTCGTCTTTGGAACAGCCTCGCTGCCGCGGCCCATGTGCCACAGGTGCCCTCTTTTCGGCGCCAGGTTAAGGCAGCCCTCCTTGCAGAGCCGTTTCAAGACCTCCCTGCTCCTTCAGGGCCCTGACTCAATGAGGCAGGTGTGTTTCTTTTATTCCTGGCCAGGTCTTTTTATTGTCTTCTAATGCTTTTATGCTATTTTAAGTTAATTTCAGTTCCTGTTAATGCTTTTACCTATTATGTTTCATTCTTTTTATATTTTGCTTTAAACCACCCAGAAACCTTCAGCTTATGGATGGTGTGGAAGATGGATGATGATGCTTAATATAATTATATAATTTAACATTATAATTATCTAATGATTGTAATTATTGTTATTATTATAACTACCTTTCTGTTGGTTTTGGCTGCAATGCACAAATCCTGCTACCTCTCAAACTAAATTCACAGAAGCCGTATCAAAGAGAATGCAAACAGCAGAACGAACTCCACCCAGTGGTCAACGCCGATCAGCAAGTCTGCCAACCAGGACTGTAAAACCCACTGGAAAACGACCTGGGATTGGCAGCCAGGTTTTCAAAGGAATCTTTGCTGGGAGCAAGAAGACCAGTTCATGCCGTGCCAGGAGAATCTCTTCGGAGGGCAGAGCACACCCGTCCAAAAAGGGCCCTGGCTGGATCCCGCTGTCTCGCTTTCCGGCGATGGCACAGCCAGAGGAAGCCTGGGATAATGTGGCGTGGGGTCTCTGCTCGCTCGCCCGGCCCGTGCAAAGCCACAGATCCGCCACGAGTCCTCGCAAGAAGCTGGGCTTGTATGCTCCGTTGCATTTTATATCACTTTCACTTCCTCACCAACTTTGCCAATGCGTTTCCCGCCTTCCGCCTCCTGCCTTCCTTTCTGCTGTTAGTGGGCCAACGGCACAAAACTGTTGAGTCAGCTTCTACCCACCCTGCCCTGCCCTGCCCTGCCCTGCCCTGCCCGGCCTGCAGCCCAAGCCCGGGCTTCCCCAGCCTCTGGAAAAACGACCCAGCCGCCTCGCCAGGCACGCTGAGTCACTTCTGGTGCGGAGCGCGGTGACGTCCGGCTGTGCCGGAACGCAACTCCCATCATTCCCAGCCAGCCCGGCCCTCTTCTCCGGGGCCTCCTGCCTCGCTTTCTTTGCCGGGGCACTTGATTCAGGGCCAGTCCAGACGGGAGGAGGCGACCCTCTGGGTAGCCTGCCCCGAGCCGTCTGAGGCTTTGCAAGTTAACACCGGTGCTCCGAACCGAGCCTGGAGACGGACCGGAAGATGCCGTTTTGCCCAGTCTGTGCCAACAATCCCATCAGCCTGTTTAGGAGCATCAGATGTTCCCAGACCGTTTTCAAACACCCCCCCCCCCCCCGAGAAACACACACAGCCACCAGTGTGTGGCAGCTGCACCTTGTCCAGGTACGACGCAGGTGCTCCGCACCAGCCGGTTCACCAGGGCTCCTGTGACAGTGCTGGATGCAGAAGCATCCCCTGAGCCGTGAACAGCGCTCCCCGCTCCAGATCCACGGGAGACCACGGCCAAGCTCATCCACACTATCGTATCCCCCGCCTGTATGGATGGGGGTGAAAGCTGGGCAGTGAAGGGAATGGATGCATTCGAAACGGTGCTGGAGGAAAGCTTTGGGAGCGCCCTGGACCGACAGAAAGACAAACGGGGATCCTAGATCGAATCGAGGCAGAGCTTTCCCTAGAAGCCTGCTCTGGGCGCATCACGAGCAGGCTAGACTCCTGGGAGAAGACGATCACGCCAGGGAAGGTCGAAGGCAGAAGAGGAGAAAAGCCGACTAGGAGATGGACCGGCTCCATGAAGGCAGCCCCGGCCTTGAATTACGCGAGCTGAGCAGGGCTGCCCCGGAGAGCTCATCTCGGGGGGCTCCATTCAGGGGGCCGCCATAAGCTGGAGATGACTGGATGGCAAGTGACAACACCCCTCCAGAGCAGGCCAAACGCCTCTTATCTGAGCAGCAGAAGCACCTCCCACAGCAGCCCTCAAACAGGTTGCAACCAGATCAGCCACTGTCTCGCCAGGATGGGACATCCACACGGTGACTATTTATGCATTCTATTCACACCCCACCTGTTTCCGTGGTGAAACTCAGGGTGGCTCCGTGGGGTTCCCAGGCGGTCTCCCCTCCACGCTCAAGCCAGCCCCACCCCTGCTTAGCTTCAGCTCCCCTCCAGAGATTTCACATAGATGATGAAAAGGTAGCGCCCCACGGCGCAATGTGCAACCCTCCACCAGCATCCCTGTGGGGAAAGCAGCGCCGTTTCCCCTCCACCGACTCTCCAACATCCAGAAGCCCAGCTTGGAGAGGTCCAAGGGAATTGACCTTGCCCTCCGCGTCCGGATGCTTCGTAGTATCCGCACCAACAACATCTCGATCACACATCGTATAGCGCCAAAGTCTTCCCATTTACTCATTTCATTCAGAAACAAACCGAGCCCGAGCAGAGAGAGAAAAATCTCCGTTGCCTGGAGAGGTCATGGGCTCTCCCACACTAGAGACAAGCGGAAGGAAACAGGGCAGTCCTCTGAGCGGGGTGGGGTGGGGTGGGGTGAGCTGGTGTCCAGTGGGGCTGGACCCGAAGGCCTTCTTGGCCCCCTCCAGCTCTGCTCTCCAAGGTTCTGTGAAATCCCGCCTTTCCTCATTTGCTCCTCATTTGAAAAGGCCCTCTGCCCATTTTCCGTTTCTTAATACAGTAATAACTTTGAGGAGGATTATTCTATGATAGTTTGGATGTTGGTTGCCATGGGAGGGCCCCGGGTTCTCACGAACAGCCCGTGAGAGCGGAATCGTTCCTGCTCCCCATGCAAAAATCTTTAGCCTGCTGAATTTCTGTCCCCGGTATTTCCTACTCCTGCTGGGGGGATGCTAGGGAGTGAACTGGGGAGCAGGGGCCTGAAGAGCGGGGGCTCCCAGCCAAAGCTCCTCCATGCTGGCATCCTGCCTCCCACCCAGCAGCTGCAAAAATGCCCTCGGGGAGGCTGGCACGGGCCACGTGCGTCGACACGGCTCGACGGTTGTCTGCCAGACAGTTCGAGGAGTCTACTCACTTCGTTGACGCAGCTGCTCCTGTGAGGTCCTTTCCACGTCCCGTTTCCTTCTTTCCAGGTGCCTGGGGAGTTTCTCTCTTGTGGCACATGGCCCCAGAAAGTCACCAGCCCTCTGCAATCAAGCCAGGGAGAGAGACGGTCGCAGCCCGGCTGGCGAAGGATGCTCTGCCCACAATCCTTTCAGGCCTCCCCCCATGCAGGGGTCTCGCCCCTCCTGCCCCCCATCACTCTCCTTTTAGCTGCCGAGGGCACAGAGCACGGCTGCTCTTCAGAGCTGGGTTCCAGCTCGAAACGATGGCCAGTCCCAGACTGGGAACCCCAGGAGTCCCGTGGGGTCCCACAGACACCTGATCCTATCAGCCACAGCCCCAGTCATGGACTGGATGATGGGCCTTATAGTCCAGCAACATGTATCAGCGGGGGATAGGTTCTCCCACTGTGTTCCAGACTTAGGTTCCCACCCACTCGTCCTTTACAAACCAGGGCTTTTAAACGCGTTTTTAAAGGACACCGGCAAGGGGACAGGGGGGAATCCGGGAGGATTTCCCCCAAATTCTCAGCTTCCTCACCAGGCCTGTGCCCAGCCAAATCGACCGTGGACTCGTCCAGGGAGAGGGCTGCAAGTCTTCCTTTCCCCTGGCCCTGATCCTGCACTTCTAAGAACATTCAGCGACGAGGCCGGAGCGTTTCCCGTGCAAATTTTGCCAGCACGGAGCTGGAGAGAGCCAGGGAGCCTGCGCTGCATCTCCACAGGTCAAGAGACTCCTGAGGGTGAGGTGCGGAACCAGCAGCCAAAAGGTGGCCGTTTCATTCAGGAAGTGGCACACCTTGAAAGAGCTTCCTGGCTTCTTAAAAAGGGAAATTTCTAATGCGCAGATTATCGGAACACTGTTTCCTTCTTGCACATAGAGGCAATATTTTGTCGGCTGCGTATTTTATAGAGAACCACACATAAAGAGGAAGTTCGAAAGGGAAAGTAATAAATGTAATGATAAGAAGTGAATGGCTGGAGCAGGATTAGTGCTCAGGATTCCTAGGTGTGAGAACTGAGGCGGTGAGGGTGTCGGAAGCCCCAGCAGCCCCGGCTCCTGTGCCTGGGCTGCATGCCCCGCATCCAGTGTCAGTCTCGGGAGAAAGCCGATGGCAATGCCCAAGCGGAATGTTGAAATAAACAACAGGGTTTTCCCTCCACCTTTGAGCATATGCAGAGTGCCTTTCCCTCGCTCGTGCGTAGTTTAGTGGCAGGCCTGCCGTCAGCCTCGAGCTCATGGCGTGTGTGGCTGCTAGGGCACGACCTAAAGCTTGAGCCAAAGCATTCCAGGCACTCTGCACGTGCTCAGAGGAATGTTTATTTCCCACTCGCTTCACGCATAACTCAGTCTCTGAATTATGCTGCTGAGGGTGGTGCTGGAATGTATGGATGGGGGCACCCAAGCCACACGGGATGGCAGTCCTTGGCGTCCCCCCCTCCATCCTGCCTGCGGCAGGCTGGGAGTCACGGGCCGGTTTTCCACCCAGACTGGCCCCTTAAATGGGTCAGTCCCCGGAAGGGCGGGCACTGCGTTCCCACGCCAGGCCGCGCGACTCGGGGCCGGAGAGTGGCTGGGGAGGGCAGCAGAGCCCGCGTCTGGGAAACCCCGGCGGGGAGGAAGATCTGCAGCAGCAGCAGAGGCTGGCAAGCAGAGGGTTTCGCTCCTCGGCGGGATGGGGTCAGCCCTGCTCTGCACGGCTCGCCTGCCAATGTGGTGAAACCGCACTCTTTTGCAATAAGCGCGGCACCTCCCGCTCTGCGTCCCTCTCCTCCAGCCCCTCCAGGGGCTCCTTGGGGATCCCCAGGGGCTGCGGAGGTGCTTTCTGCCCCTTTGGGAAGGCAGCACGGCAGTTCCAGTCCCGGGCTCCAGGCTGGCTAACCTCCTAGGCCAGAAATGAAAGCGAAGCCAGACAGACGCATATCCCTCCTTCTCTTTTCCTGGAAGTTTTGTTTGTGTGCATGCATGTGTGGGTGAATCGGAACCCTCCCTCTCCATTTCAGGATCCATGTGGGCCGCTTCTATAATTAGGCTGGATGGGGATGCATGCCCTCTGCACACCCTCAGAGGGGCCCTCGCGCTCTTCGGTGACCCTCTCGCTTTGTTAGACTGCGGTGTCCACCAGCCACAGGAGCAGAGCCCACGGCGAGGGGTGTGGGGGATGGCAGGCAGGGCGATCGTCGGGGGGGCCCCCGCACGGCCGGCTTCAGGGGCCGGCACCGCAGGGCAGGAGGGCTTCTCCTGGGGCCGAAGCGCCGCCAGGGGGAACTGCGACACGAGTGGGAGACGCGCGGGGCTCCCGGCCAGCCCCCGGCCCCCCGCCAGGCCTCGCCCCCCGCCGTGCGCGGCCGCTCGCATGCTTACCAGGAGGGGCTCGGGGGTCCCCGGGAGGCGCCCCGGCGGCCCGGGCATCCTGGCTCTCAGCTCCCCGCGCAGCTGCACCAGCTCCTCTCGCAACACCTCCAGGCGGCACTGGAGGCTCCACAGCGCGAACAGGCAGGCCAGGAAGCCCACGGCCAGGACGCCCGTGCCCGCCCAGGCCGCCGCCAGGAGCGACGCGTGGCGACAGGGGCCCCGCCGCGGGCGCGCGCCGGCCATCGGACCTGCCGGCAGGCCCGGGCCCGCGCCCGCGCCCGCGCCCG